AGAGACCAGTATCTTAACTTCTAAAGAACACCAACGATGAGACCAAAACTAGTTCTGTTCTCCGACTGCCAGCAGTTGCCTTGAGGCCTAGACCATACTTGGTAAGGTCTGGGACCTTAGCTCGTAATAAGTGCAGAGCTGGGCACCCGTCTAGGTGTCATACAGCCATATTCACACAGCGTCTCAGGGGATGAGGGATGGCCTACCTCAACTGTAGGCAAGCTACCCAAAGTGACAAACAGCAATACCACAGGCCTGCCTCCCTTGGAAGGCACGGAGCAAACAATTCAAATGACAAGTAGATGATATTTAACATTCTCTATAGCAATTTGTTGGTGCTAAAAACACAGTTAAAGAGTATTACATGTTAGGCAAAGGTCCAAACTCTGCAGGCCATGAGCAAAAACTTCCACCTTCCTCCTACACAGAAGAAAACCAACTGATTTTGAAAATGCAGAGCTGGGGCTCCTCTGTGTCAAAGATACCCAAGTCAAGCCAAGTGCCCATTGAAGGCCTGCAAAGGTAAATGAAAAGTTGCACCGCTGAATTGTTCCCACTGCAGAACAGGGGGTCGGCTTGTGGAGGAAGGGTCTATGGGCAGGAGAGGGGAGATGAGGGAACTCCCATGAAGCTAATGAATGGGGAAGATTTCTGGAAAACTGCCATCCTCAAAGATCTGCAGAGATGTAGTTGGGGCCTGGTGAACCACGGCCTCCCCTCTGAACAATGGCTGCCCAAGGCCGGAGCGTTAATGAGAGCTCCCAGACGGCTATGCTTCTGCTCAGCTACCTGCTGCTTTATCACTGGCAGAGGGGTCGGCGGGGGGTGCAGGTCTATGTCACACTGTAACTGAGGCCTGGTTAGTATCTGAGGGTTTCCAGATTGCAAGTGTCCTGGACAGCCACTGATCTTCTGGCTCAAAATCTTATCTTAGGTGCCTTACTGCCTAAGATGGCTTCCTGGAAGCTTTAACCACAAGACCTCTGAGCTGCAGGATGGTTACGCCCTTGGGGTATTTGAAACCACTGAACATGACCTCCATAATGGGGAAATAGCTCACAAAATCAAGCCCTTTGTAGCTTCTACAAGTGAAAAGACATCCTATTCTTTTTCTGCTACCTATGGAAAAACTGACAAATACAGACATTGCTCTGGAGACTGGTACTCAGAGGGCAGATAAGTCCCCAGGGTGGGCCAACAGAACAGGCCCTGTAGAAACACCACTTAGGCTAACTTCCAGATAGGAAAGGGGAACCTCCAAGCTGTGCAGTGAGGAAATCACTATTTCATGAGGAACAGTATTTTTAGACGGCGTGAGAAATGAGGAATGCATGAAGCTGAGGATGATAACACGGGGCAGTCTCTCCAAGGCAGAAGTCTGGGCCACATTTCCGCCGCTCATTTCCGTAAGGGCCCCTTGTTTTGCTCACTTGTCTCTCTAAGAAAGTTTCTACTTGAGAAAAATGGGTGCTTCTGGAAAGGTTACCATGCTGCATGCTGTCAACTTCTTATAACCAACTCTGATATGTTTTTCTCTTGATTTTCTGAACTCATGAGTTCTTAATTCTTGATTAAGCTGAAAATGCCAGTGGGTAATCTCCACCCTCATTGCCCACCTCAGGTCTGATCTCTGGGTCTCCCTGCCTCGCACCTTATCTCTGAATCTTGATTTCCATTTCCTTGTGTTTCTGGTCTTTGTTTAAGATAATCCATCTCTCTGGTCTTCCCAGAGCAATAATTCAACTCTCAGTAGTGAATATTCTCTTTTGTTTTCTCTATTTCTCAGTCAGAAGTCATTATATTTCTTGGTTCTGGTGGGTCACCGATGTGCCCTAATTATATCCTCTTGAGGATTCGCCTTCCTGTTTTTATGAAAGTACTGCTCCATCTCTTCCGTTTGAGCCACTGCAGTCAGAGCCAACTGCACTATTAATATTTGTTCAGCTGGGCTCCAGGTCCCCCAGTCCCCTTAAATATGTGGTGACAACAGCACCCTCAGAGCTTACACCGTGGGCAAGTGAAATAAGTTGATGGCGGATGAACGGAACATACATTTCCCAGTCCCACCACTGGGCCCAGGTGTCCCAGTCAGGCCTCTCAATATGGGAATGTGTGATTTGTAACAGGACAGAATCAAATCAACTGTTTTGAAAAATAATATATGTTAAACCCGACGCCCTTGCCCCCTTTTCCACCATCACTGTGTTCCCAGCAACATTTATCTCTTGCCTGGATTTACTGCAGGGCCCCCTTAATCAGTCTTCCCTTTTGCACTCTGACATTTTTCAAGTCCATTCTCTAAGTAGCAACCAGACTTTGGGTCATTCTCAAGGTGAATCTGCTCAAGCTACTCCTTGTCCCAAACCCTCAACAATTTGCCATTAAAAGACTTAGCACAATAACCAAAGTCTCTCCATGAAAACACAACACTCCGATCTGACCCCTGACTGTCTGTCCAAATTTGTCTCCTGCTATTTTTTTATCTCTCTGTTCCACCACACTATCTCTCTTCTTGTTCTTGCAAACAGTAAACTTTCTCCCCTCAGGGTCTGCCTCTTGCCTTCCCTCCGTGTGGAATGTCCTTCCTGAAGACCTCTTGTGTGGCTTGGCTTACTCCTTCCCATTGTCCAAATCTTCATTCCAAGGTGATGTCCTCAGAACAATCTCTATATTCTCTAGAACCACATCCCCCGAGAACCCACTATGCAATTACCTGGTTTTACTTTGTACTACTTGAGATATTCTATTTATTTGTTTAACTTAGATTTCTCTTTTCCTAGACTATGAACATCATAAGAAAATATTTTGTTTTTCACCATTCTGTCCCCAGTATTAGCAAAGTGTCTGGTTTTTAGTGAGATTCAATATATAATCATCAAAAGAGTGAATTAATGAACAAATAGCTTAAACAATCAGGATGCCAAAAGAATACTGCCATGAAGAGACAACTGAAAAAGTCCTTAACCTAGTTTGTCAGCAGAGCAAAAAATACATCAAAATATTGCTAGATAATCCATTTGTATAGCTTTTATCTATGTCCCGTGACTTATAATTCATTTCTTAGGCAAAACCTGACTTGTGAAATTAAATTAGCTGATACATATTTAAGTAGGGAGCCTCTTGAAAAAGCATTAGCATAGGCTATGTTTAAAGTTGTAATGGCAATAACTAAGTTATGTTTCTTAATCCAAATTATGTAGATTCCCTACAATGAACCCAAGACAAGAGCAAGGAAAGAATAACACAGCAAAAGAGTGAACTCAAAGACAGCAGGCTAGTAAGGAGATCAGAGCAAAAAAACATTAGGTCGGGAAGGCTAAGCTAACAAGTATATAAAAAAATAACTCTCTGAATAGTTTAACTAGGGAGACTCCATCAGAAAAATGTGTCCGTGAGGTATAGACGTGACCGACATGTTTGTTCCTCCTCACTACTTATGCTTTGTGTAGTTATGTGGATTCCCATCACGTGCCAAGATGGCTCATGGGGATTTCCAATGTGGCAAATGTCCTTGGATTATTACTTTAGTGGAAATGATGGATTCATACCAATACACAAGCTCACTTACCAGTTTTCAACTCATGAAACACTACATTTTTGCCAAGCAAATGGTCCAAGAGCCTTCACTATGACCGAGAGATATATTGAAGATTACCAGCTTTCAGGGGAACTGAACATCTCTTCTGGCCTCAGCAGCATGCCAAGGAGGAATGCCTCTTAGCGGCATTAGTCTGACCTCTTAGCAGGTCAGACTACTGGCTCTAAGATGCTTAAGTTTAAAGTTTGTCATTTAACTGTTTGATTCCAGATGAAGATAAAGATAGCAATACCTACCCTACATGTTTTGCAAGATTGTTGTGAAAATATACACAGCAAATAAATGTTTTGGAAACTGGCTATTTTGGTTTAATTTTTATTCTGCATCTTTGAGGTTATTAAAGTTATCCTCTAAATTGAAGTTGTCATACATACACCTTTTAAAAGTAAGAGGAAAAGAAAAAGCAAGCACCAAAATGGGTATGTCTGACCATGTGGTCTTCTACTTGAGATCAACAATGTTCATACCTGTTTTAAAAATGCTGCAATCACCCTAATTAGCAAAAATGACATTGCAGTTTTTTTAAATACACAAAAGCATCAAGAGCTCTCATTAGGAAACTCCCACAGTCTCTTTCCACACCCAGACATTCCCAAGTAATCTATTTCCTACTCAAGGAGAAAGCTAAATTCATGGGCCATCATAAACAGAACAAAATACTTTACAGTACTCATGTGAGCAAATGAGGACAAAACCAAAATCAGAAGAAAAATGCACAATATTGTATGCTGTCTGAAACCTATTTGCTGTTATATGTTAATCACTGAACCTCTAAAATCCAAGCCTCCATAGCATATTTACTTATTGTGTTTCTTGGTTTACTTGAATAATCCTCTTACACATCACTGCATATATCCTGAAGATCTTATTAAATAAGTAGAATAACAGGCATGATGTACAATGATGGAAGCATTCAGGTTCATTAAAAGAATCCCCATCATGATGATTTAGTGCAATTAGTCAAACCCACTCCAATATCACACTCACAGGTTGCTTTAAAGACTGGTTATATATAAAGTGATCTTAGATTATTGAAAAAAAATTGCCAAACATCAGAAATCCCCTGTCAACAAAGGTAACTCTTTCAGGAAAACAGAACCAGACGATCCCTGAATTCCTCATCTTAATGAAATCCACCCAGTTCTTTTATGCAAAAACCCATTTTTTCTAAAGAAGCAAAAGTAGGATCATGGCTAAACAAATCTGATCATTTTGCCCGTCTTCACCACCAAAACCAATCAACCTCATGCCTTCAGTCAATAATTACAGAAAGATAATCAATCACCCGTCTTTGGCTCAATGACTGGGTCTACTGGGTATTTATGGAATCAATGTATCTGCCTTTTCAAAACTGGGGATCAAATCATAGCATCTTGTCTGTTCACTGACTGTGCTCCCCTACCTCGTGCTGATTCTTGGCCAGCCATTCCTTAATGGTGCTAAGGGCGATGACTGCAGCAGGCTCGTTTGGAAAACCTAAGTGAAAAGCAGAATAAGACAAGTTTTTTTTAAAAAAGGCAAAGCTGATAGAGAGTCAGTCATGGATGGATACTGAGTTTTCCCCTCATTTACTCAATATTCAATCCAACCATTCAGTACTGAACAAGGCAGACCTTAGTAAGTAGTCTACACACTCTACACTTTACATCACAGGAGATGAAGTTTGCATTGCTATATAGAAGGGCCCTGGTCCCATACCCCATCTAGAGCTAGAAGGGCAATAGAGAACTGTCTCTTCAGTTGTATGGTTATTTATTAAAATGAATGTACAATTGCTTAGCAGCTTTCACAACATGTTCACGTAATTTTCTCATACAGTTCAGTTCAGTTACTCAGTCGTATCTGACTCTTTGCGACCCCATGGACCGCCGTACGCCAGGCCTCCCTGTCTATCAGCAACTTCCAGAGCTTACCCAAACTCATGTCCATTGAGTCACTGATGCCATCCAACCATCTCATCCTCTGTCATCCCCTTCTCCTCCTGCCTTCAATCTTTCCCAGCATCAGGGTCTTTTCAAATGAGATGATGCTGATGCAAAGAGATGCTCTTCCCATCAGGTGGCCAAAGTATTGGAGTTTCAGCTTCAACATCAGTCCTTCTAGTGAACACCCTGGACTGATCTCCGTTAGGATGGATTGGTTGGATCTCCTTGTAGTCCAAGGGACTCAAGAGTCTCCTCCAACACCACAGTTCAAAAGCATCGATTCTTCGGGACTCAGCTGTCTTTAAAGTCCAAATCTTACATCCATACATGACCACTGGAAAAACCATAGCCTTGACTAGATGGACCTTTGTTGGCAAAGGAATGTCTCTGCCTTTTTAATATGCTGTCTAGGTTGGTCATGACTTTCTTTCCAAGGAGCAAGTGTCTTTTAATTTCATGGCTGCAGTCACCATCTGCAGGGATTTTGGAACCCAGAAAAATAGTCGGCCACTGTTTCCCCATCTATTTGCCATGAAGTGATGGGACCTGATACTATGATCTTAGCTTTCTGAATGTTGAGCTTTAAGCCAGCTTTTTCACTCTCCTCTTCCACTTTCAAGAGGCTTTTCAGTTCTTCACTTTCTGCCATAAGGGTGGTGTCATCTGCATATCTGAGGTTATTGATATTTCTCCCAGCAATCTTGATCCCAGCTTGTGCTTCTTCCAGCCCAGTGTTTCTCATGATGTACTCTGCATAGAAGTTAAATAAGCAGGGTGACAGTATACAGCCTTGACATACTCCTTTTCCTATTTGGAACCAGTCTGTTGTTCCATGTCCAGTTCTAACTGTTGCTTCCTGACCTGCATATAGGTTTCTCAAGAGGGAGGTCAGGTGGTCTGGTATTCCCATCTCTTTCAGAATTTTCCACAGTTTATTGTGATGCACACAGTCAAAGGCTTTGGCATAGGCAATAAAGCAGAAATAGATGCTTTTCTGGAATTCTCTTGCTTTTGATGTTGGCAATTTGATCTCTGGTCCCTCTGCCTTTTCTAAAACCAGCTTGAACACCTGGAAGTTCACAGTTCAAGTATTGCTGAATCCTGGCTTGGAGAATTTTGACCATTACTTTGCTAGCTTGTGAGATAAGTGCAATTGTGTGGTAGTTTGAGCATTCTTTGGCATTGCCTTTCTTTGGGATTGGAATGAAAACTAACCTTCTCCAGTCCCGTGGCCAATGCTGAGTTTTCCAAATTTGCTGGCATATTGAGCTTAGTGCTATAACAGCATCATCTTTTAGGATTTGAAATAGCTCTACTGGGAATTCCGTCACCTCCACTAGTTTTGTTTGTAGTGATGCTTCCTAAGGCCCACTTGACTTCACATTCCAGGATGTCTGGCTCTAGGTGAGTGATCACACCATCGTGGTTATCTGGGTCATGAAGATCTTTTTTGTATAGTTCTTCTGTGTATATTCTTGCCACCTCTTCTTAATATCTTCTGCTTCTGTTAGGTCCATACCATTTCTGTCCTTTATTGAGACCATCTTTGCTTGAAATGTTCCCTTGGTATCTCTAATTTTCTTGAAGAGATCTCTAGTCTTTCCCATTCTGTTGTCTTCCTCTATTGCTTTGCACTGATCACTGAGGAAGGCTTTCTTATCTCTCCTTGCTATTCTTTGGAACTCTGCATTCAAATGGGTATACATTTGCTTTTCTCCTTTGCTTTTCACTTCTCTTCTTTTCAAGATGTCATATTAAAGCTGATTACCCTCCATTGACAAATCAGATAAATTCAGGTCAGAGACCACATGTGGTGGACCCAGGGTAACAGAGTCAGCAGCCCTCCATAAATGAGCTGGCACAAGACAGGGTGAACAACTGGTCACATAGCCATAGCACTGAAAGATATTTCACAAATTCAAGGCAGGCAATGCCTGTTCCACTTAAAGCCATTGGAAATGATGCTGAGATGAAGACAACATGAAAGGACCTGATTCTATAGAACAGGTTTAGTTTTGGAAGGGCAGGAAGAATGATGCACTTATAGCACATCAATGAGCATGGCACACCTGAGACTTTCTAAAACTCATCCTTTAGTGCATGTAAACCAAACACATTCAAGAACTCACAGAATCATCATACATTCTGCCAACAGAGGTCAATGTGAGGGAGTAACATTGTAAGTGACGCATTTATGGGGCAGAAAGGAGAAACGGGAGTGACTCTTCTGTTAAAGCTCAAGCTCACCCCTGACTTCCTAATCACAAAAGCCTGTAGTCTTTCACTCAGTCTTCATCTTCTTTGGTACTAAATGTTTTTAACTCATTTTTCATGTTTCAGTGTCTCTTCCCACCTGGATTAAAAAAAAATCTTTGAAGTGTTTAAAGTATAAAGTTTAGCAGTTTTGATATGTGCACAAACTTGTGCACTCATCATCACTAATCCCAGGATATTTTCACCATCCAAAAAATAAGCTCTGTACCCATTAGTCTCCCCAATCTCACCTCTACCTCAGCTCCTGGCAAGTGCTAGTCTACTTTGTCTCTACAGGTTTGTATATTCTACTCCTGGATTTTCTTTTTTTTTCAATCTTTTGGCCACACTGCACAGCATATGGGGTCTTAGCTCCCAACCAGGGATTGAACCCCACCCCCACTGGAAGGAATATATTCCAGTAGTTCTAATGGTTTAAATCTCAGTGAACTTTCAGAGAAAATGTGAGAGAGAAATAAAAGAGGACTTGTTTGTCCCCACTTCCAAAAGTAAATGTTGCTTTTCTAATTAAGTCTCTACATGCTTTGTTAAAGAGCATAAAAGGGACCAAAATAAACCAGTGTCAGGCTCCACTTGGTCACTGTCATAGGAGAGAGAGAATCCTGCCATATGAAAAAAAGTGCACACATTCTCAAACTCGCAGATTCATTGATCACATCTGGGATTATGGCTTTGCTGTGCGTTGTTTTACTTTCCTTAAATGAAGTCTTCAAAATGTAAAACTCTTAAAATTAGAAACACTTGATTGTTCATTAGCTAATTCACTAAACAAACAGATCGAACCCACTTCTCTAATGTTCTTTACCATGAGTGCCACCTGGGAACCCCAATATTTAATTAGAGAAGGGTATATATGTACATACACTATGTACTTATGGATATATCTGTATGCTACTGCTAACTGCTAAGTCACTTCAGTCGTGTCCGACTCTGTGTGACCCTATAGACAGCAGCCCATCAGGTTCCCCCGTCCCTGGGATTCTCCAGACAAGAACACTGGAATGGGTTGCCATTTCCTTCTCCAATGCAGGAAAGTGAAAAATGAAAGTAAAGTCGCCCAGTCGTGTCCAACTCCCAGCGACCCCAAGGACTGGAGCCCACCAGGATCCTCCATCCTTGGGATTCTCCAGGCAAGAGTACTGGAGTGGGGTGCCATTGCCTTCTCCCATATATCTGTATAGATAGACCCTAACAAGTCCTTGTCTTTAAAGCCCAAAGTTGGGGGGAGGAAGTAACAAGAGGCCATCGCAATCCAGCAAACAAGGGCACTGAGGAAAACAGGGGCTCGGATGAGATCTGAGCAAGGAAGGGGGTTACTTTCTAGAAAACAACAGAATATTTGGGAAAGGGAACTGTATGTCAGGAGCCGAGGGGACACTGTCCTTGGGAATGTGTGAGCAGCAAGGAGCTGGGAAAAGGTGAGAGAAAGGGAAGTGGGGGCGCAGGAGAAGTCCTAGTGGGCTGCAAGGAAAAACAAGGTGGCCAGGCTGGGCGTACGTGGTTAAGGGTTAGCCACAGTAAGCTTTCCAGTCCACCTCTCCCCTGAGTTGAAAACCTACATTTGTAATGACCCAGATGCCTCCCCTGATGGGCTGCAGAACTGGACGGACAATACGTAACCAAAAGTGCAATGTGCATTCGTCCACAAAAGGAACCCTTCCGAGTTCCTGGTTCTGCCCATGGCTCCACCTCTCTTTTAGCAACTGCAGAGTCCGGCGGCGTCCCCCCTGGTAACTGGTCCCACAGACAGTGTCCCCCTGGCAGATCTGACAGCACCCCGTTCTTCCTTATCCATCCATCTCACAGAAGGTCTGATCTGCTCTCACCCCAACAACTGCAGTTGACTTGGACCTGTGCTTTTTGGGCTTCTCCCCTCCTCTCGCCTATGCAAGCACACCGCCTCCAGGCGATTCTCCTAAAGTACAGTCACCACCACCTTACTCAAAACAATGGCAGCCTTGGCTGACTCTCTGGCTCTTCCAGAATAAACCTTAGTACCTTAGCTTGGATATACACCCCAGGGGCCTTTCTAGCTTTGTCTTACCTCTATTTATTCTCTTCCCATGAAAATCTCCAACTTTTTGATGTGTTCAAGAAGTATTTAAATAGTGAAATTATAGGGCTACATAAAGCTAATAAATTCTGTAATCACGCTCAGTTGCAATGGCCATCAGCATTAACCTTTAGAAGATGTAATTCCCCACAGAGAAATTATACAAGTTCTCCTAGAACCATGGCAACTGTGGTCACTTCTCAATTATGTGTGACCTCCTGGTC